CTACACACTGGAAATTAAACTATGTCTAACGAAAACTGACTAGTTTCGTTAGATATAGTTTCATTTCCAGTGTGAGTTTTCCAGTGTGTAGGCTGACTAGCCTTGATGTATCAAGAGCCCGAAACGTTGGTTAGTTTGAATAAATAAATATACACGATTTAGTGATACAAAGATCGAATACAAATTTTAGTAGCACTAGAGCTCCTTGTGAAAAAGATCGTCTATGAAAGTACTGCCACATTACCTATTTCTGAAGCCCAGCAGTAACGTAAGCATTATCACGTTCCGGTTTTGAAGTGTAAGGGTGCTGTTGAAAGTACAGGCACATGGAACTTGTCAATTTATGTCTCAGAGTGGTGATGGGCGCAGTGGCAGTGCCCCTAAGATCTTTGCGACGCTTACCACCACGCGCAAGTTTGTTCGTCTCTTCACTAGATATCACAAAAAAAATTTTAAAAATACTAGTACGGGTGGGCAGAATGATGCACTGACACTTTCCATATTAAAACAATGACTAACTATAGCTGGTAATTATTAAGTAATCTGTGCTATAGCAACGTGTTTTCTATTTAGCACTTCATTCAAATCTAGAGTGTCGCGTTGCTTTCGTTCCATAAATGAACTACATTCACATATAAAAGGCATACCGCGATTAGTCGAGAATGTTCGCTTTTGAAGGTTCAGTTAGGTCGTACGTCTTAGTTACGACAAAAATGTCAGAAACGGTATTTAGGAAGGAAAAAGGACTAACCTCACATAATTTTTTTATATATACGTTGATATCTTGGGGCTTTCAACCTGACCTTTTAAAGGACGTCCTTAGTGGAATAAAAACATAAATAAATTATAACACACTGTAGATTTTTTCTGGTTTTGAATTGGTGTTTTCTTCAATAGTTAAAGTTAATTTGGTTGAAATTCAGTAGTTTTAACAATAATTTGAAAATAAACGACTACATTAAGATGGTCTTTTACGTGGTAGTCGAGTAGAAGCCAACACATCGTGAAGGTTTTATTTAAATGGTTAAATAAAAGAAGATTTTAATACATGACATAAATGAACTTTTATCTTTATGTTACAGGTGTTAGCTATTATATTTATTGTGAACTAAACATATAATGTGATTTAGTTTCTTGAACGATGTAATACATTTAGAAACATTATTTTAAATCAAACTCGATTCCGCATATCGACTAAAAACAAAATTTTTTGTATTGTCTATGGTACGAGTCACTTTTGACTATGAATTTGTATTAGCCAGTCAAGATTATTACGAAATACAAAAAGTTAAGACCTTAATAGTGTTTCCTTGATTGTAATAATCTCCTAAAGGTTTAATAATCCAGTGATATAATCACACATTTAGTCACAAAAGGTTTCTACATAAATAAGTTGAGTTGTATACAATCTTTCATCAATGAATGTATCAACTTCTAATATTATTTTAATGTGCTCAGTTCTGTTGTACGTCCAATATCGTTTTTTTTATAATTATTATTATTAATGCAAAGATTTCCACTTAGAAAAAATACTTCGATCCGGCCGGATTCGATCCGACGTCTCGTAGCAAACCGTGACAGACGGTATACCAACTAAGCCACGAAACGAACCAGCGGACCTCACGTATTCTTCTATGCGCTTGTTGTCGGATCTTTGTATTGGTTTTCAACGACATTTTAGCCGTAGCGCCATCTATTTAACTGTCTCCGTGGTCGAACGGTTACCATTACTGCCACGCAGAGGTACCAGGTTTGATTCCCGGGCCGGGAGGAAATATTTGTATGTCCTACGTTTATTTCTCTCGTGAGTTTGGGTGTAATTTATGGTTGTCTATGTGTGTATCCATGGCACCCGCGACACAGGGTTTCCCTAGTGCGGGGCTATGTTGCGTGTGTGCGTTATTATTATTACCCAGTTTGGTACCTTACATCTATGAGCCCTGCCTAGAGATATCGCTATTAACTGTAGTTTTTTTTTATCGAAAGTCATAATGTTTCACCACCATTATGATATTCAATTATTTTTAACCGGACTTCAAAAAAAAGGAAGAGGTATCCGATTCGTCTGTATGTTTTTTTTTTGTATTTTTGTTACGCGAGAACTCCGCCATTTGTGAACCAATTTTGATGATTCTTTTTTTGGTTGTAAGAAGGTGTTTCAGATGTGGTCCTATTTAAATTTCAAGAAAATATTCCACCTCTAAGGGTGGCAAAATAGGGGATGAATGACTTTTGAGGTCGGTATTTTTAACCGGAGGTTAGATTATTTGTGAAATTATTCCACTAGTTTTGTTATTAATACAAACATCGAACACTTAGAAATAATTTCTTCGATTGTTCTCTTTTTGTTATTGGCTTTTCGCATGATATAGGAAAACGGGTAGGAAAACTACTACGTGGAATGACAAAAAGAGGTCAACTATCTTTTTGACGAATGTAAACACTATTTTTCCGCCAGCGCCATTTTTGTAAATGCCAGCAACCAAATGTTTTAGTTTGACCTACATTTACTAACTAAATTTTATCTGTGTTGGTCCAGTGGTTCCATTATCTTAGCACTTCATCAATCAACCAACCGAGTTTCTTTTTTTATGCTGTGAGGGCACATAGGCGACACAACCGCACTCATATAGGCGATACATACTCACATAGGCGATACAACTCAAAAATGATGAAATTGAGAAAACACGATTTGAAAGTTCAAAAAATTTGAATGCAACCAATACATTTATATTGTCGATTGAAAGTGGATAACTAATTATGTATGAACAATAATCTGAGTACAAAATATTCAAAAATCGGACCTGAAAAGTTCGTGGAATTACATATATTTGTCAAGTTTTATTGAGATCGGTTAATGGACATTGTGCGAAACTGGATTCATCCCCTAGTTTGTCACCCTTAGAGACGGAATATTCTTTTAAAATTTTAATGAGAACAATACCGAGGTACCCTCTTCCCAACATAAAAATAATCATCAAAATCGGTTCACAAATGAGTTACCGCGTAACATTCATACAAAAAAAATTGCAATCGAATTGAGAACCTTCGCCTTTTTTTGAAGTCATTTAAAAATAATAACATTATTGAAAAAAAATAATAAAAAAAGAAATTCTCCTAAGCGAGTTAGGTGGAGTAATGGAAGATGCACATCACTTGTTTTACTGGAATAAGAGGGCGGCGTTAATGAGAGACCTGCAGATCAACCGAACATCCGTAGGTGCTATAAATTGTATGCTAGGCAATCCTCACACGAAACGGGCAAAAAGACTGTTCTCCAGCAGGGCCGCCCAGACATGTAAGCTATAGTTTAGGATACGGTGGAACTGACATGTACATTGCACTAAAGTTCATAAATAAACAAAAAATTAAAAAATATAACTATCATTTTTGAGTTACGTCAATACTTGATTTCAGCGACTTGTTTGCGCGTTGCGTTGTGACATTGCGGAAAGAGCTAGTTATAATAATATAATGTCTTGATTTTTCCATCTTCTAAGATTTGGTGACAAATAATATTTGTCATTACATCTTAGAGGTATATCAAAGGATTCTATATTATAGTATCTTTTGATATACCTAAGCAATAGTGCTTTCTCTTTCCAGAGTATGTTTATAATCTGTGGACTTGTTTACTTTTAATAGATTCATACATTCTGGCTTCGGCGACCGTGTTTGTAACGACAATTAATTACCGGTCTATGTAACTTTTACGAGGTTATTAATTACGAGTTATTAAAAGAGTAATTATTAAAAGTTTTACGAGTAGCTTTTCTTCCAATAATAACGTTATTTAGATGGTAATTATTTAAAGCATTTGAATATATGTGAACGTCTCCCTTAAAAGTAAGGAATAAAACGTGCGCAACTCTTGCCGTAGCTGTAATACCATAAAATGAGCAGCAGTAGTGTTAGTATAGTATTGTGAAAGAGCTCATTCTGCTGCCAAGCAGTATTGTGAGCATTACTGCATTCCGGTTTTGAAGGGTAAGGGTACTGGCGAAATTACAGGCACATGGGACTTGTCAACTTATGTCTTAAGGCGACGGGTGCAGTGGCAGTGCCCCTCAGATTTTTGCGATATAAGGCTCTCAGTGGCACTGTAACTGTTATGGACAGGCGTGTCGCTTACCACCAGGCCTACGATTTGTTCGTACCGTCACTTGAATCTTAAAAAAAAATTATATTCAATATGAATGAGAAAATAGCATGCTGTATGATAAATAATATAAAGTACCAACTTAGGAGGCACCGGTTTCTTAAAACAGAAGAAAATATTTTTATAGCTAACGCTAAGTGACTAACTGTAATTTGTTATTTTACATTATAAGTTTTGTTGATTTTTGTTTACATATTTTTTATTGTATACAAAATAATGAAAAAAGACTTTTGTATCCCTGCTGTGACCAATAAACCGTACAATAAATTAACGTTTCCCTATAATCTACGTATCTATTTATATGACTAACCATGTAATTAGATATCATTTTAAAGTAATATTGTAAAAAAAAATGTGGGTATTGCCCAAAATACAGAAAAAATACTTATTTTTGGTAAATAAGTATTTTTTCTGTATTTACAACAACCCTTTGCTTTGTTTTTAAGTAAAAATTATTTTAGTAAAAATATAATATAGTAGTGCAAAAATCATACACGTTTAAGCAATTTAACAATTAAGCAAAGTGTAAAATAAAGTTTATATCTTTAGTTTTCAAAAAAAAAAAAAATTAATGTTTGATTTATAATGTTTGTTGTTTTGATAATTACATGTAAATACGTCACTGATTTTGTTCACTAAGCAGGTAACAAATAAATATGCGTTAAATATATATGTCCTTATAGCCTCAAATGATGCTGTGTACAGTCAACAGCACATCAAGCTATATATACACTTGTTCGAAAGTCGCCTCCAGTGCAACAGAACAGGATCCATCAATGTCTAGCTTGGTGTGCTTTGCCGTCGTGGGCGTATATTATATAGTTTTTTTTTATTTCCAAAGGTGTACTACTACATAGTGGACTCCCCCCGCAATGAGGGCAAGGACTTTTTCGAAATCAGCATGCAGACGGGCGAGATTTTCACCAAGGTGGTCTTCGATCGGGAGAAGCAAGGTGCTTACGCGTTGGAAGTGGAGGCGCGTGATGGAGCTCCTTCGGCTCGTCCTAATTCTGACAATCAACCTAACTCAGGTGTGTAAATTGTTTTTTTAATTAAATATATAATAGAAAAGATATAATGGAAATAAACGGGAGGAGCCACAAGAAATTTATTTCTTTTTAGATTCGATATTACAAAAATAATAATCATCAATTTGATTGCAAAAGAATTGTTGTCAATAAACAAAATTCGTCGTCTTTATTTACCTAGCTGATTAATTACTCATAAAAGCTATTAATTGTAATTAATTTTCGTCGTGAAAATGGCTTTTCAACTACGTAAAGTTCTGTGAGACACCTAATCCTTGATTTATTCATAGCTTTGCTTCCGAAAGTTTATAATTTCTACCCTAAACGATTAAATGTTGCTATATTTTTCAACGAAGTTACTTGGTCGTTCATTCATTCACCAATGATTATATTTCTATAGAATCATTAGCTGTTATAATTCTTTTTTTTGTTTAGACATCATTAATGGTGTGGGCAACACCTTTACTTTTCAATAACCATATCAACCATCTTGGGAGTTATTCTCATCTGATCCCCTGCAACTAAACCATCGGTAATTTTAAATCCGAACTGATCCGCTCTATATTTTGCATCTCTCAACGGATTCCCTCATTGTAATTTGTAAGGTAAGTATAGTCAAGAGAAAAAAAAAATCAAATATTCATTTATTGAGCAATTGTGATGAAATGTTATAATTATCACAGCCAATAAAGTTTTTTTGTGACAGGTCATTAATACATATTGCAAATCACAAGTAACAACAAATTAGTCTTAAGTGATATTTAAAATGTAAGATTTTCGAACTTTTGTATTGATGAATACAACGAGTACTACGCGTTATTTTTTGCTCGAATTGTAATTTAGTTTTTTTTTTTTATAGAATAACAAAGGGTTAAAGACTTTGACCGTTAAAGTATAGTCAATGTTGTTAATTTCTAATGGACTATAGTTATTTTTGATACAATAGCGGACAGTTAGTCATTATACACGAGTCTCGAGGCTTCTTTTTTTTCCAATTTTTATTCCATTAAAGACTTTTTTACACAGACATTTCATGGAATTTGATAACTGTTTTAAAAAAAAATTACATTATGCTATTTATATTATAAAAAAAAAAAAAATTATAAAATGTACATATTGATAATTTTATTGTATTGACTGTACGTTCTAAGTAGTTGACATTGATAATTATGTGATATAATTAATTATTCAATTTTAAATTCTATTGACATTTTGAATTCTATAGTATTTTAATTGAGCTTACTGACTAATTAGTTATGAAACATTGTACACCCGACATGGGTATGAACTGTTGCACCCAAATTACATGTATCATCTTGTTTACCAGTTCAAACAATAAACGATTCTGATTCTGATTCTGATTCTGATTCTTGGCCCGAGCTAGAGGCGAGGGTCAAGACTCGAGACAAGTGAAAATGACAAATTCGCACGTGTATCAAACGACGTTTTTTAATACATTTGCGAAAAAAGTATATTGAAAGTAAAATAAAACAGTATGTAACAAAAAAATAAATGAAAAAAAGTTAGTACTTTTATTTGGCCGATTTTTTTCAATATGGCAACTGTTGCCAGTATTCAGCCACATTAAAATTACTATTTCAGTGGCGCAGCGCGCAACGGTCTCGCGTAATACTCACCTCCGGTCATTGTTAATACTCAATCAGCATCTTTACGGAAAATATTTTGGTGTTTTTAAATGAAACCCGTTGTTTTATAAAACACCTATGCAATTTAAATAAATAAGATGTTTGTAAGTAAATATAAGTTTTAATGACGAATGACTTACATCACAAATCACATAAATATTAAATAAATATACAACCTCTTTAGGTCTATGTTTAAAACTTGAAACAACGGTAAATTTAAAAAAATGGAAAAGTAAAAAGCACTAATGAGAAGAATCCAACTTTCGGCACGATTTGTAGTACGAAAAATACCACGTTTTGAGCAACTGTATTAAAAAATAAAATATACAACCCTCAAATACATTTTCTTGTCGACTGTAGCACAGTACCTACCAGGGTATTACGTGGAAATAAAATGTTAATATTTATTTTTGTTCCACTGCGTAGGGGATCCAATGGGAATACAAAATAATATAAAAAAAGACTGATCCACCAGGGGTCGGTTTTAGGGGATCAGATGGGAATAACTCCATCTTGGTTACCTTGGGAGATGGATATAGTCATATCATGCACGCCTTTACTTAACTAACTAAAACTTCATTTTACCTCCTTCCTGGGTACGTGAATTCAACTTAAAAACTCTGAGAAATAAAAAATTGGCTTTGAAAAAGTGAATTTTATAATTTTTTGTCAACTTTTGAAATTAACTTTACTTTTACCATTTTTAAAGAGATTTTCAAACCAGCCCAACAGTTTGCATTGTGAGCGCTGAATGAGTCGGTCCCAGGTTCAATTCCCTGTAAGGTCAATATTGGGTGCGATTCGTAATATATATTACAAGAAATGACACATTTTAGCCGATATAACGCTCAATAGATATAATTAATTTATGGTATACAGACATTTGACATATTCTTGCATGATATAAAGGTCACTGGGTATAATAGACGATTGATATAACAACTTTCAATCTAATATATGTATATGATGGCATAAAGTTCATTTTATATAAACACTTCAGATATAACATTCAATGATTATAATGTTGAATGTGTATGTGTCTATAAATAAATAATTAAAAAATAATAATTCCAGTGGTGTTTAGGTGCAACGGCGAATGAACCGAATTCGTTTACATTTCCTAGTTGGTTCGACCTCCTTCTGTGGGTTTAGGTTAGGTTAGTATATGACAAAGCTGCCAGAACCGAATTTGTTTGCATTTGCTAGTTGGTTCGACCTCCTCCTGTGGGTTTAGGTTAGGTTAGTATGTGACAAAGATGCCAGAAGCGAATTTGTTTGCATTTGCTAGTTGGTTCGACCTCCTCCTCCTCCTCCGTCTCCTCGCTTCAGGCCCTCAACTAGAACGCTACTAAGACGCGCTACCTGCTCACGAGACAGACGCCCCGGAAACATGCAAAACCAGGGCAGAGAAGCATGTCCGTCTCTGCAGCTAACCACAAGCCCCAGCGAGTCCATACCCAAGTCCAGGTCCACCAGTGACGCCCGCAAAGGCGTATCACTGGCGGAGGCCTTGGCCCGGACGCCCGCTGTACCCTGGTCTTGCCATCGAGCCCGTAGTCTCTCCGGAAAACCCTATCTCTCGGGTCGGCAGATAGGGACGGGATAGTAGAGCAGTCTTAGGTAACATTTTTAGTAGCAGTAGAGCTCCTTGTGAAAAAATTCGTCCAGGGTAGTCCTGCTACCTTACCTATTTCTGCCACCAATCAGTAATGTGAGCATTACTGCATTCCGGCTTAGAAGTGTAAGGTTGCTGGTAAAATTACAGGCACATGGGACATGTCAACTTATGTCTAAGGGCGGGCGCAGTGGCAGTGCCACTGAGATTTTTACGGTTCCAAGCTCGTGAGTGGTCATGTAAATGTTATAGATAGGCATGTTATTTAACACTAGGCGTACAACTTGTTCATCCTGTCAATTCATATTATTGGCTTGGCGGCAGAAATAGGTAAAGTGGCAGTACTTCCATGGACGAACTCTTTTACAAGGCGCTGTACTGCTACTGACTAGTAACCGGAGGTGACGTTGGTTTGGAAGGCGACATTGGCATAGATGGTGATGATGGTCTAAAAGTTCTGCTGGGGTGTTTGTCCTGTATGTCAGTTTGCTACCAACATCAGTGTTTTTTCGGCTGTAACATATTTGTCGGTGAGAGCTCACCTGTTCAACTCCTCACCACTGATGGTTCGCATGCTGAGACACCTAGCGTCAGTTTCAATTGTGCCCCAGCGATCGGCCCCTGGCAGCGTATCTATACGGGTTCTTTTATAACGAGTGTACATGTTAAACGAGTTTTCATAGGTATGTTAGCTGCGCCAGTAATTACTTATTCGTGTGCCCATACGTGATTAGATAGTCAATAAGGACATGTTGTTCTTTAGTGGGCTTATTATTATTAGAAATACTAAACTTGGATTTCTATACTTACGTTAGGTCATTTATTATGCCGAGTTTAATAACGTCATCATTCCTGGCTTTTCACATGAAATGCTATTAAATGAAGTGGTGATTATTTTGGCTGTATACCGATTGACAATATACTACTTGTGTTTTCATTGGTGTTACTTTACCTATTATATTCGAAACGCATTATGTATTATTAGAGTAAGGCATTTGGAAGCTCTCATTGTAAAAATAATTTTATTCACGTACGCAGATGCGAGGTCGTAGGGTCGAGAGGTCGGGCACACCGTCGGGCTAATCACAGCGACGACCCGCATTCAAATGACTCTTTCTCTTTGGAAGTATTTCTTAACGCTCAAAGTTGCGTGCTTTGTCAATCTCATTCGAGAAACGTATTTCCACCTACTGTTAGTACCTATAGAAGACTCTCAGGAACCTTCTTCCTGATATTGGATATATTGGTGTCTCATATTTCACGTCATATTTCATAGGAAATTGATTGTATCAGTACGTGTGACTCTATAAATTGTTTGTTTCGACAAGGTCTCCTACTAGGTAAGAAGGTTGGTAGTGGGAGGGCGACATCGCTGTTTCGCGTCATCGTAAATCAAGCAGCGGCATAATCAGCCGCCGCCTGAGGCCCTAATCCCGTTAAGCTTCTCATCCCTATATCTGTCTCACGTGCACAATAGAGGGCTTTAGATCAGCTTATAGCTAACGTAACTACACCGCGCAATTTCCTTGATATGCATTCCACGAACATCAATATAGTTCATACAACTTAATAAAACCTCGGATTAATTAGTTCCTGATCGTAAAATGCTATTATCTTTATTTACGTGCTAGGAATATCTCATCTACTGACCATTTAACTAAGGGCGTTTTATGATTCAACGTCGATCGGGTATAAATACTTATATTCTTTAACACGCGGTTAGTAAAATAAATTCTAGGAGT